TTTTTTCGTTTTATCAGTTTCAAAGTCGCAAAAAAGAAACGAATAAATTCTCAATTAACTCAATTCATGTTTTAGAAAATTTAAAAGTAAAGAAGAGATAGCTTTAAAAAACATCTTTCACTAATTATCTTTTTTTTCTCAGCAAATGAAAATACTCTAAAATTGAAAGTATTTAATTTATTTTGCAAAGTTTAACTTTTGCGAAGTATAGTATCAATTTATTTTTTATTATCTTATAGGAAATTGTTGCCGCGCTGCAATCACAATGCAACATAATCCCGATCATTGACAATTTTCTATGGCCGGAACCTGAAGAACTTCCTGAAGACATGCGCGCGGTTTGCCATTTTAACGGTGTTCGTTGGATTCATGACTATCAAGACGCCTGCGTAGACAAATTAGAAAGGTAAAGTAATTAGTTTCTTTTTTATAATTTTTTTTGTTAAAAGGAAATAACTTTGATCAGAATGAAGAAGATAATTTTTATTCTCTAAAACAAGAGTTGTAGCTGAAATATTCACTAGTCACTTTCTAAGAAAATTTTATTTTAAATAAGACAATTATGTCTGTTGTAGTATTAAGATAACTTTTTGATGTTTGCTTTTCATCATTGTGCAGGTTTATGCGAGGTGAGATACCTATGAGATCTGATCTGTCCAGCGGAATTCCGCGCAGCATGGCTCCCAAGGACGTGACCCAACCGAGCACACCGGCTAACACAAATATGCGACAGCCACCGAACTATCAGCGAATGCACAGCAACGAAAGCAGGGGCAGCGACAAGGATTCCACGGGCGGGCGAGACTGACTAGACGGCCCGCCCACAGCCATATCGAGCAGGTAGTTATTCCTGATAATTTAGCATATAACCCTAACGTTGAGTTGAGCGAATCGATTCGTCAATGTCCGGGAAAAAATTCTAAAATTTGCAGAATCCATTAACACCCCGATACCAAGAACTCAGTTTCGATCACATTAGTCTGATGTTAAATCAATTATTACGAATAAAAAAGAGTTTATCAATAATTTGGAATAATTTTATTAAAAATAATTGAACACAAGGAAAATTTATAATAATAAATAACAAACTAGATTTATCGTTATAGACCGAAAATCTTTTAATAGTTCAGATTTCGTAAAAATATTCAAAAGAGAGCTAAGCGATGAGAGATTTCAGATAATAATAAATATTTTTAATGATCCGAATTACTAAAAGTTAGCAAATTCGTTATACTGGCCGCTAACGAATCGATTTACGATGCGATTTGGAAGCGAGCTCTACTAACGCAATGCTAATTTTTGTTTTCACGCAGCCAAGATTGTGAATCGCTCTATGACAATCATGACTAGGTCAGTCAGCGATACAAATTTTTTATCAATGTTTTAACGGTGACAAAATATATCACTATCCTATCGCTTTTGCTAAATCCTTGTGCTAAATCAATCCCTGGTATCTGATATCGTTGCACTTTTTCAGTTTCATGTTACACGTAGATAGATATGTGTCTGTGATGTAGATGTATAATTTAAGGTGAAGGTTTAGATAAATTTTTTTTCTACTTGAGTGTCAGATGTTTATTACACAAACTATATGTAGAATAAAAAAAATTATCCTTTAATTAAATATCTCTTAACTAATAGATAATACATTACTAAAAGTTAATCAAAATAATTACATAGAGATTTCACGTTTAATTTTCAATCTTAATAACGAACTTTTTTGATGATTCTATAATTGATTTTTTACGAAAATTTAAAAAATATATATACTAGCAAATGCAATAATTTTAATTTTTTACACGTAGACGTCAATGCTTACATATTTATATTATTTATATTATTTATTTTATATTTATTGATCTAAATGGTGAAACTGCAAGATATAATTTTGCATGATATAATCCGATAATTCTTCGGTGTTCGATATAAGAAAATTTGAGATGAATTCACAATATTAGAATTATAGGAATATAAAATGAAAATATTAATTTATAACAGTAATAAGGCTCAATAAATTTTAAAAAGAAAGAAAAAAGGGCTACAAGCCTAAGATTAAAATATGAAAATATAAATTTTTTGAATGATACGATATACATAGTATAATTAGTATAGTAGATTCTATAACGAATCAATGAAAATTCAAAATTAATATTTATTTCTAAAAATTTCTAAACTTCCTAAAAATTATTTTTAATATTTTGATGAAAGATATCTAGAAGAAATGTGAGACTATGAATATCCTTGTTTTATCTAACACCGAAGAAAGCAAACGAGAAACGCATTTTTCGCTGAATCATGATTTTGCAATAAGTTCTATTTTCGTGTTGTAGACTTAGAAAGTCGTCAAGTCCATCCCGTTGGTTGATGGGCCTGCCACCCACATCGCCGCGCTTCAAGTTCATGTACACGCATCCGGTGGGTGCCAGCAACAACCAGGCAGTACCTCGCAGGCCACCGCGGCAGCCACCCTTACCATCAACGCGATCTCGTTCGCTGGAGCTGCTGGATCAACAGGATCAGGAGCAGAAGTCAGTCTCTTCCACGATCGTCCAACGACCACCACTTCCTAGGCCAAGATCACGCAGTCTGGACGGTTTGCTGGATGAAGATACGAAGAACGGTGAAGAGCAGAACAAAGGTCAGTGCGAGAAGAATCGAGAATGCCCTTCGATGAGTTCGGAAGAAAATAAAATTGTACCTGCTTCTGAAGAAAGCCAGAAAGAGCCTAATATCGAGGCTGTTGAATCCAAGGATAAACTCAGGCCGATTTGCAGGATAAAATCGAAAGTACCCAACGAGTTCAAATCCGAGACGGAGGACAAGCAAATGTCTTTGAACAAGAATGACAAGGAAGCTCTACCGATACGTCCTCCGAAGCCGAGCCGACGTTCCAACTCGGAAGGACAGTCGTTGACATGTTCCAGCAGACAATGCGCGGAACAGGAGCATCCAATTGAAGAACAGAGGATCAAAAAGATAGCGCAGGAAAGATTGAAGACACAGAGTGACAACGAAAATGATGACTATGACAACGACGACAAATCAACGATGCTGCTTAAGGCATCAAGAAGCTGTGGTGCGGGATTAGACTCTGACGGGAGCATTTCGTCAAGCGAATACGGTGGGCACAGAGCTCATCACGCAAAGGGACCGGGTTCATTGTTATCGTTACCAGCGGGCGCGGAACCTAAACGCAAACGAAACTTCATGGACAAGTGTGTGAACAAGGTGCGGTCGTTCATGAAAAAGTGAAACAATAAGACTTCTTGTTATTTAATTCCGCAAATTGGTCGAAGTAAGGCATGCGCGCGCGCGCGCGCACGAACCCCAATAAGTCCAAATCTAAAAGATGCTGTGACAAATAACTGAATAATTACGATATTCTGATCACTTGAAAAATTTTATATCTTAAAAGTATTTGAAAGTTTTCAAAAGAATCAGGAAAAAAATTGTAAATGTCCCGATAGTAAAATTAGAAAACATTTATAAAAAGTTTCAGTGATCAAGATGTATTAAATGTTTTTATGAGTATCGAATAATCATAGTCTTAAAGACCAAAAGGACGCATTTAAAAAATATTTAGAAAAAATTTGGCTGAGCAAACTATTTAAATGTCTTTTATACATTATTTGAAAGAGTCTTTGAAACTATTGCTTACGAAAATATTCAGCAGTCGGTGATTTCTGAATTTCGTGTATTTAATTTTGCGATACGAAAACGTAATTCGAACTTTGTGATTCGTTTTGTGTACAATGACAGGCAGCATGAAAGTATATAGCGAAATGTGCCTAAAGATGCAACACAAGTGTCTTCATAGAAGCCTCGAGATCTTGACTTGGCAACGTATATTTACGCGAATTAGCCTGCTTTTCCAGGTGCCTTTTTGTATTGTATTTTCTCTCGTTAAATTGTATGAATTATATATGTATATTGTATATGTAGAAACGAACGAGAAATTAAGGCGGCTAAGTCGATATTTGTAATACTATTTTTCTAGGCAGTTCTTTTCTCTTAAATCGCGTTCAAAGAGACGCATGTGGCTTGCGTGGTCACAAATTATGGTTGTTCTTATTGCAGCTAACATCGAAAACACATTATACACAATTATACACGATTGTATGGAGTGTTCGGTACGCGCGGTTCGGCGATATTCCTCTTTGAATGTCAAGACTATATTAAAATTAGAAAAAACTAACTTTTCCTTTAATATTCAAATGCAACGTACTTTTTTGTAGATAGAATCTCAGAGTATCTCTTAAATATCTTGATAACTATATTTCAAGTCAAGTTTCCATCGAGATGAAATCCTTTCAAAATTAGTCAAAGAATATTTTACATGATTTCTTTCTTTTCTACTATAAAATCCTTAACTATTCGTGTGTTTTTATCGGGAAAAAATAATCCCTATTAACTTTTAATAGGGAACATTGTCATGTATGTCTGTGTGTTGTGTGCGTGTGTGTGGAAAGACAAAAACCGAACACTCGATACATAGCGTGACTGTTTTCCAGATCGCGCAATATTTTACTATTTAACACTATTTTTATCATACCAATTGCCTATACACTCTCGCCGAAAGTCGAAACGGCAACGCTTCGATATTCGTAGTTTAAGAAATCCGCCTGATTATTGCAAAACTGTATATTTTACCAAAGTTTCATAAAGTTACGGATTTTATTGAAATGTTTGAATGTTTCTTAGAAATAAATTTTATTTAGCGAGATAAAGTCGCTTATCTCTCTACAGCCGCCCCTCCTTTTCAGTACAAAGAAAAAAAGATGAAAAAAATTAAAAAGGTTTATTTTCTTTGTCTATTTTTTTATTAAAAAATATCAAACATTTTATTTAGAAAATTTATAATAAAGACATCTTTAATTTAATTACTTCGCAATACTTATCATATCAACATGTAACGAAAATTACCAAAGTTTCATAAAGTTACGGATTTTATTGAAATGTTTGAATGTTTCTTAGAAATGAATTTTATTTAGTGAGGCTTTCTCCATTTTCTTGTGATAATGTTTATGTTTCTGAACAGCATATTGAATGTTTAAAAGTTGTGTTCTTAAGGAGCATAATTATGTAATATAACTGTAAGCACGTCACTACAAAGAGATATTGTTTGTCATTGTAAATCATATTATTTGAAACTGACGGAATAAACCCCGCCTTGTCCTATTTATTTTCGTTAGTCTGTATTATATAGCAAAAAATATTGCCTCTTATTAAAAAAAGAAACTTATTCAAAGAGAAAGAATTCGTTACATTTTAATGCATCTTAAGGTACTTAGAACATTGGTCTATCTAAAATTGTATAAAGTAAAATTCTCATCTATTGATGATATCGTCGCGACCTCTTAGCCTACGCATTAAAATCATATCGTTTCGCATAAGAGTAATCCGTTTAGCATGTGATGCCAGCAATATTGAGTCTTCAAAGAATTGCACGAGATACATCTCAGTCGCTTCTTGCAGGGCTTCAAAAGCAGTGGCTTGTATCCTACAAGTTAATTACTTAACTTTGTTAAATGCTATAATAATCGAGCTGTAAGAATCTCCCATCGAGACTCATATTTGTTTCCGTAATTTTTTTCATTATATATAAGTCTAATAACTTTAAATATATATAAATATATAGTATGTTATATATTAAAATATAATATAGCATGTCACATTAAAATAATAAAAAAAAGAAAGAGAGCATAATATATTTCATGAAAATTTGACTGTATGTATATAATAAAACAAATTTTTATTTTTTTTATGATTTTTTTATACATAAAACATTCTTTTCTACAGAAAATGTAAAATAAAATTGCTCTCTTCTTAATTAAATCATACAATCTTGAAAATGAATATATAATCGAATAGTACCATATAATGAAAAATTTGCAGTTTGTAAATTATATTTGCGTTATATTTACCTGGTGATAGTCGTTCTGGGAAATAAGTCATGGATAATATCTCTGACTACACGTGCAAAAACTAATTTAGGTATAAGAAAGTGTGTGGTTCTCCTTAAACGTTTAATTTCCTGCACCACCTGGCTCTTCCACAGTTTAGGTTTACTCACTATTACAGTTTTCTGAGAACAATTATTCAAAATCAACAATATAGAACAACAGTTAACTTAATACACTTATTGTAGCATGTATATATAAATATATATAACACAATTTATTTCACTTAGAAAATTCAATGCATTCAACTTATACAAGATTTAATCTAACATGTATCATTGAGTGTCTTTCATGTAGTAACACAAATTGACATAAATGTTCTATATTTCTTTGCAAAGTTAGAACTGAACAGAATACTTGTTTCAACTTGTATCACTAAATAAAAAGCATCCACTTACAGTGTCTTTATTTGCTCTTTTCTTCTTGACTGGACTGAAATATAATTTATTTATAAGCTATATAAATATAGATATTTCATTAAAAAATATAATCTCAGATATAAAAAAAAATGATACAATAAAAATACTAATTAATAAATAATAAGAGATTACTAGATTATTATTATATAAATGCACATAGAAATATGTATATAAATGACAGCATTAGTGAGACATAGTTTACACGACTAATGATTATTACATTAATACGTAAAATAACTGTGATAAATAATTGTGATAAACGTGAAAAGCAAGTACCTATAAAACATTAAGTAGAAACAAGAATAACCTTGGAATTTTTCGTCTAACCATCGTCTAGTTGAATTGCAGGCGTTTATAGATTTTTAATACTACAAACGACACTAATTTGGATTCAGGATTCAGACAAAAAATGAACTTTAGGATAAAATTATATCAGACATCAACGGTCAATCCAATGTGAGATGTGACGTAAACAATTGGTGGTTGGCGCCAATTCTGCTCAAACCTAACTTAACCTGAGGTGCGTTCCGTATCGCGCATGATGTGCATGATGCATCCATTGTCCTTGTTTAACATTTGGTGAGCAACAAGGATAAACGATGCATTATGCGCATCATGCGAGTAACGGAACGCACCCCTAAAAATGAACCAATTGAAAGCTGCGTTCAGAAATGTTGCCAAGATGCACCATATGTCGTTTTATCCTTGTTGTTCACGAATGTTAAACAAGGATAAAAGAATATCTGGATGCACCCAGATGATAATTCTAAACGCAGCCCAGGATGCATTCAGAAATTACGCCCAGATAATTCTAAGCTATAGGTTATGTTACGTATATTATAGCAAAAATGTATCCTAGAGCGTAATTTCTGAACGCAGCTCAATGGAAACTTGGAGATGAAAAATTCATTCAAATTCGTAACTAGGATGTTACTAGGACGTTAAATTACCTAGAACACGGAATGCTGACGCCAAAAAGAAAAAATGCAAAGATATTGCAATTTAAATAACAAAAAATTAATAGTAATATGATAAATTAACAATATGATAATAATAGGATATATAATAAATATTATGATAAATGTATGATGACGAATAACGACGGCGGAAACTTTCGGTGGAATCAGGGGATCGATTCTGTATCTTGAAACGAGGTGAAAATTACAAAAGTGAGTGAATTTACTAGAATACTGATAATTTCATTGGTCAATACCTAGTAAATTTGCTCACTTTTGTAATTTTCACCTTGATTGAAGATACAGAATCGACTCCCAGATTTTATTTCAAAGGATAAATTTCGCACTAAGAAGTTGGCGAGCCTGACTGCAACTGCGGGTGATGACGGTGGTGTAGTTGTCATTCTTTTTTCCGGAAGTGTGGTAGGGTGATTTTCACGTTGCTCTTGTATATTGCGGTTCCTGCGATTGTCGTACATAAAATGCGTTAGCTGTCGACCTCGCGGATCAGCCCGAACAGCATTTCGCTCAGGTGAGACTGCGATTTTCATATTTTGCGTTCTGTGCACGGATGCGAACTCGTCGCGCGCGCTTTTGAGGTTAACTCTCGCTCGTCAAACTGGAGTTCCTTTCACTCCTACTGAAGAACGTACGCGTTGTTGTCACTCGTCGATCTGACAGTATTGGTACTCGCGTATATTCGCAAATACTAGCATGTATTCGTGAGTACTCGCGATCGCTCGCGCAACTTTTGCAATTTTGCGCAAGGGAACGTGAGAAATTGGCGATGACATGGTCTCAGTTTGAAAAATCATAAATTTTTGAATTGGTTTACTTCGCAAAACTCAGGCATTTTATTTAGGCTATTTATCTTTTAGAGGAGATACAGTCGACATAAACGTTGTTCTATCCTTTTCCATTCCAGTGGATAAAAAAATAGAACATTTTGTTTCCTAAAAGGAAAGTAGCCATAATCAATGCTTCAATTTTTCCTTCTTGTCAATCCAAGTTTATCCAAGTTTGATTTCATTCTAACTTGAAGATTACTATAGTAGCATTTTTTGCTCCAAAATGTAGTCAGTTGTAAGAATATGCCGAATAAAGTACTAGTAAAAAAAATTTAATTTATTTACATTCTATACATTCTTGATGTCATCTCTTTTTTCGTTTATATCTCTATTTTTATCAAATTAATTTCTTATTTGGTATTTTTCAGGATTTTTTATATGTCATTAATCATTTTTTACTAACAATGCATAATATTTTTGTTGCAGTGCAGTGTAACATAGTGAATATATAGAGCATGACGGAGCCAAAACCATCAGGACTAAGACCACCGTCAAAAATAGGACGGCCTTGCTCCACCATGCCTCCTAGACCAGCGATTCCGCCTTCTCCAATGAGACCAACGACCAGTGAGTTTTTAACAAAATTGTGTACCGTTCTTTTTTATTGCATGTATAATATATTTTTATGTTACTATGATCATATGTCGTATCTATTATCCATTTTTATAATATACTAAATGGATATGATATATATAGATATCTGACATTGATAGAGAGACCTAAAAGGAAGTATCTAATAATATCTCGTGTTAAGTAGAAAAATAGATCATGTATTAATAAATGTATATACCTGTTCTTTATAACACTTTGTTTCTTACCTGTATAAGATAATAACAGAGTATCTCAAAAAGGAGAATATTAAGTTTTTGCTATTCTTCGATCAAAATAAAAAAGTTCCAAGATGTACAGATTATATATTATAATAAAGAATTACTTAAACGGAGTAGCCATTTATTATGTAATTCGTATATTTCGAAACTTTTTATTTTGGCCGAAAAACAGCTTCAACTCAATATCCTCCTTTTTATATTCCTTTTAATTCCGATTTTAATTCATAAAACACCAACAAATAGGAAGAATCTTACCAAAAATATCTTTTCGTGATTATTTTATCATAAATACACAAAGGAAAGATTTATTGCCGTTTGCCTCATACATTTTGAATTATGCATTTGTTGTATTAATAGGAATTCTCGTAGATTTAACCAGAAAGATACAAATCAAATGTAATTAAATCTATCAAACATTCTAGTTGAGATAACCAGAAAGTCAATTATGATAACCAGAATTCTTATTCATATGATTAAAATTTGTCTTGTTTGTATTTCTTGCTGATACAACCAGAACATTTTTCTCAGTGTAATGGAAATTAATGGACAATTTAAATGATATATGAAACTATAAACAAACCTTTATTTGTATTGTCAATATTTTCGTAATGCTAATTTACTTATGCTATAAAAGTGTTTATATGGAGTATGTTTTGACGAGAGTACTACATTATCGCGAACGTTGTTACAACTCGAACATGTACCGCGAGTGTCTCGTTAATTTGTCCCGGCACACCGGGAACATCGTGCACGCCCACAAGTCGGTCGTGAACGAGCGTGAATGCGAGTCCGCAAGTTGCTCGCACGAGTCGTTCTTTGGCCGTTCGCGACGACGCATCCTTTGTGAGAGAGAGAAAAAGAAAAAAAGTAATTGGTAAATATTTTTCACAAGAAATTCTTGAGAATTAATGGTGAGTCGCGAGAGCCTATCGCGAGTAGTGCATTCTTTTCTGTTTCCTTAAAAGAAGAATAGAAACGGAAACATTTCTCTTTGCTTTGTGCCGAAATTGCGGTGAGTTTTAACTGATCATCGAGAAAACACTATGAAGTGAACGGCTTAGTGATCAGTCACTTGGTTTGATCTAATAGTAATTATTTTAAATTTTGTAACATTTTATTCAACCTCACACATTAATTATATCACTCAGCTCGATTATTGCAATTTATAAATGTTGCTGTTCTACATGAAAGCTGATCAACTTGACTTGTCGCGATTAATTGAACCGTTTTTGCAGGATATACTTTTAAACGATAAATCGGTTTTTTAAAAAAATGAAAGTGACTGAAACGACTAAGAATATTCGCCGCAAAGGATAATTGGCAGATAATTTGGAAATTAATGCAAATCTCTCGGAAATAATATCTTAACGTTACAAGCATTCAGCGTTTTTAAATATTTTAATTAATTGTATATGTGTGTGTATGTTTAATTCAATTGATCTATTTGATTCCAAAATGTAATTTATTTTCTGGCTAATATTTGATTAAAAATTTTTTTCTAATATTTTATGACTTCGTCTGTTAATTTAAGATTTTTTTTTTATGAAAATTTTTTATATTTTATTTTTTAGAACTTTTTCGTGATATTGACACAAATAATATAATATTAAATTCAAACAGACCAGCAGGGTTAATATTATACATATATTGCTGCCATACGTCAAATGAAATTAAATATTCTCTACATATGACATACATAAATGCTTGGTAGTAATAATAATAATTAAATTAGATTTTTTCAGAAAATATATCGTCGCTATAATATATCATCGCTTTATCATCCTTATACTAACTTTTATGCAATAATCTCTTCTTCGATCACACGATCAATCAACCGATTTTTCCTCGCATTATAAATCTATACTTGTAATTACGTTTTAACATCAGTTTACAATTTTTCCTTATTTTCTTTAATCTAAAATCTGAATTCTTATTTTCTCCTTAATTTTCTCTTCCTCAAGAGTTCAAGAATTTTTCCTCGTTATTACTTTTCTGTTCTCTCTCTTTCTTTCTTTTCTCAGATCTCTTTTTTTTTTATTTTTATTTGGTATAGTAACTTTGTTCTCACATAATGCAAGCGAATATAAGGCACTGCGGGAAACAGATTTTGTGTCGCTTTATTTTTCTGCCGCGCAGATTCTCGGCGCGCCTCTCGACGATGCATAACGGGCGAGGTGCGTTTTCGCGATCGCCTCTGGTCGCATCCAGGGCACGTATCTTACCTTATTGATGCAACGCCATTGAATTGCCTTCGCTGCACAATCGCACGTCGTCGGCTGACGCATTGCGATTATGCAAGTCGGTGTTGATCTCGCGCCCGCGATTTCATCCCGGGCGTTTCATCTTTCCTCTCCGCGAATCCTTCTCTTTTCTCCGATTTTTTATTCTTCTCTTTTCTCTTCCATTTTAATTCTTGTACGAGATCGTTTGATCGTCTCGAGTTTCGCAATTCGATCAGAAGACTCAAGGCCTCCGCATTTCGTTTCACGTTATCGCGAGATTTCGTTGAAAAAATATGCAGCCGAATTGTCAATAACTACTAAAATTTTAAATAAAGAGAGACGTTTTAAATGTCAAAAAATTAAAATTACATATATTTTTAATTATCTAAAATTAGTAAATTAATGAAGAATATAAATTACCTCTTACAGACCGGTTTCTCATAGTCGGTTCTTATTTCAAAACCGTCTTAAGTAATATTTTAAAGAGTCAATACGATTCTGTGATCGGTTTATAACATTTTAAGATTGTACTTAAGGTGATCTTAGATATAAAAATTAACTACATACGATTTTCTGTCCTTTACTGCACATAATGGATC